GCCCGGACCTCCCCCTCCCCCTCAGGTCTGTGCCAGCCCCGCCCTGCCGGTGGGAGGAGGTGGGATGGACGAGAGCGGTGGAGGCATGATCCGGTGACGCCAGCCTCTTCTCTCCACCCCTCCCGCCCCTCCTAGGTGGCCGCTTGCCCCGCTTTGACCCCACAGCCTTTGTGAAAGCCAAGGAGAAGAAGCTGCGGGAGATCAAGATGAAGTGAGCATCCTTCCCCCCTCACCGCCCGTGTCTCTCCCTGGACCTGCTCCTCCGGTCTGTCCCGTCTCCCATCTGTGTCCCACCTGTCACCTGCTCCGTCTCCCCTGGCCTCGGTGACCTCAGGCGGGCCCCTGCGCTGGCTGTGGCCCACAGGGCGCAGCGACGCCCTCCCCGCATTGGTGGACGCACAGGCCTGCTTCTGCTTGCGGTTCCCCAGGCAGCAGCAGCGGAACCGAATGGGCAGCGGAGGAAGCGGGGACGGGCCGTCCATCTCCTGGGCTCGCCAGACTCGCCCCCCTGCTGCCAGGACCGGCCGAGGGGACGCGGCTAACCGCTCCCGGAACCGCAGCTCCTCCGGTAACCGGGCTGGATGAGGCCGCCGGGCCAGCAGGTGGGCTGGGCGGTAGGAGGGGGAGGGCTGGAGGCTCACCATGTCCTCTCCCTCTAGTGGACAGTTTCCGCAGCCGCTGCTCGTCCGCCAGCTCCTGCAGCGAGTTCGAGGATTTCTCCGAATCCCTCTCTAGAGGGTAAAACTTGGGCCGGGGGAAAGGACCGCCTCCTGGGGGAGACTGGGAACAGTCTTGCTGGGAAATGGAGCGATGGAGCTTTAAACCGAGCGGAGGGTAAGGTGGGAGAGGCCGAAGACCCCTCCCATCGGCCCCCATTCCTCCCTCTTTAGCACTCGCCGCCACCGTGGGAAGGGGCCCAGCTCCACAACCTTGAGTGGGTCCAATACGGTGAGTGGCTTTCCTCAGGCCCCGGGGAAGGTAGGGCAGCAGGAAGCCACCAGAGCCCATGTTCCCTTCTCCCCGCGTCCAGGGTGGGGAACAGGCGCCTCTGAAGTCTCTGGACACAGTGCTTTGAGACCACCGGGTTGGAGGGAGGATGGGGTGGCGTAGGGGCAGAGGACCCTGGTTAAGAGCGCCAGCTCTGGCCACAAATCGCCCCCCACAACCTCTGTGACTCCAAGATAGGTTCTCAATCTCTGTGCCTCAGTTTCCTTTTTTAAAATGTATTTTTATTGATTTCAGAGAGGAAGGGAGAGGGAGAGATAGAAACATCAGAGATGAGAGCGAGTCAGTGATCAGCTGCCTCCTGCACGCCCCCTATTGGGGATCCCGACTGAAATCCGGGCCTGTGCCCTGACCAGAATCCAGTGGTGACCTCCTGGTTCATAGGTCCACGCTCAACCGCTCAACCACCCAGCCACACCAGCCGGGCCTCAAGTTTCTTTATCAGTTAAACGGGGATGGTAATAGTATTCACTTCAGAGGGTTTTGGTGAAGATACAAAGTTATAGGTGCCTAATAGGTGTCAGCTCTTATTTTTCCTGAGGTCCTTAGGTTCAGAATTTCTGGTGGGATTTGGGGGGGCAGGGGTAGAGGGAGAACACGTGACTCCTTTCGTGCCTCCCCCAGTTGCAGAAGTTCACCCCCATGGAACGTGGCCGTCGACCGAAGCATCTGGCCAGTTCTGGGGGCTGGGTCCCCATCAAAGGTGAGCCTGGGACTCCACATCTCCCCCTCACATGCCCCAGAGTCTGCTGGGGTGGTACGGAGGGCATTTGTTGGGCCCCCGAGCTCCCTGTGGCTTCAGGCCCCTCACAGTCCCCCAAACCCACGTCTGCTCTCACAGAGTACAGCTCTGACTACCAGGCAACCGACATAGCAGAAATAGACGCCCGTTTGAAGGCCTTGCAGGAATACATGAACAGACTGGACACACGGTCATGACCTTGGGAAGGAGCACTGCCCCTCCATCCCTTACCCACCAATGGATAGGTATGGGGGGCGGGGCTGGTGTGTCCTTCCAGCCCCACCCAGGCCCCGCCCCTCCTGGTGTTCTTGGGGTCTCAGGTGTGTGAGACCCTACCCCTCTCACTCTCCCAGGCATTGCATGCTGGGAGGGAGGGTCTGTGTATTTTGTAAATAAACATATTTACCCTTGGGATCCCTAAGCTTATGACTGAAGGGTAGGGGTGGAGGGGGGAGATATCAGGACTGGGGGGACCTGTGTGCATTTCTGGGCATATCTGTGACTGGGAGGCAGGTTGGGGTTCAGGCTCAGGAAAAATCTTGTACTTTAAAGCAGTGAAAGTTGGGGGACCTGCGGGGAGATAGTAGGCAGCCCATCCCCAGAGGGGTCCAAGCAGAGGTCCTGCTCGGGAGGTCTTTGGCTGTGTGGTGGGGAGGGGGGCCTTGCAGCATGGCTCACCGCCTGGGAGGACCCCCGAGCTGCTGCCAGTGACATCTGGGCGGCTTGGTGCCGACCCCTGCGCGCTGACCTGAGAACTCTGGGTTCTGTGCTGTGATGCTGCTCTGAGTTGGGATCTCTCGGGTGATGGTTCAGTGTTGGGGCCTCTGGGATCCGAGTACCAGCGAGGACAGCGTGCTGGGAGGTGGGTGAGAGTGGCTGAGGTCTTTGTGGGAGGGAGGCGGGGAGGGGCGGCGTGTGGCGGACACAGGAGCACCGTTTGAGTTGCACTTTTATTGGAGGGGAAGGCCAGGGGCTTCTGACTGGGGGTAGAGACGGTCAGGGCCTCACTCCCTGTAGTGTGGCCACTCCTGGATGATATCGTAGAGCCGGTCGCCCGGAGAGAGCGTCTGCTGCACATCCCGGTGCCCTTTGACCTCATAGTTGGGAAGCAGAGCTCCCCGAGCCACTCCGCAAGCCAGCAGACTCTTGGCCGCCCGGATGGCCCGGGGATGGGGCGACCGCTCTGTGGGGGCAGAGCAGGATTTAAGCTGGGGTTTCCTCAAAGGGCAGAGGTAGTGAGGGTAGTGGTTCCGCTTGTCCGCTAGATCCCAGAATCCGGTCTGCCACTCCCCACCAGTGACTTAACCTCTCTGTGCCTCAGTGTCCCCATCTGTGAAAGGAGAGAATAGTGGCACCTGCCACAGACCTATGGGACCGGAAGACGAGTTAGTGTGTGTAAAGCCCTCGGAATGGCGCCTGGCACAGCAGGTGCTGGCTGTCAGGATCATTGTCATTGTCCTCCTGGGTCCCTAGGCCAGTGGTCGGCAAACTCATTAGTCAATAGAGCCAAATATCAACAGCACTTCTTCAAAATAGACTCGCCCAGGCCGAAAACCGACCTCTACGCAGGGGCCACGAAGTTTCAATCGCAGTGTACGTGCGCCCGCACGTGGTATTTTGTGGAAGAGCCACACTCAAGGGGCCAAAGAGCCGCATGCGGCTTGTGAGCTGTAGTTTGCCGACCACGGCCCTAGGCCTTCGGGTCCTGCCCAACACAGTGATCTTGTCAAGCACTTCTTAGGTGGCAGGGCCTGGCCTAAGAACTTTTACATAGATTAGCTAATCCTCATCCCAACCATGTGGTTGAAAGTTCTCATTATCCAAAAAGGAGGAAGTGAGACTCGGAAAAGCAGTCACTTGTCCAAAGTCACAGAGCTTGTGGGTGGCAGGGCCTCTTAACTACACACCATGCTGTGCCCCTGCCGGGCCATGGCGCCCTGTCCTGACCGGCGGGACAGCCACTCACCCATGAAGTTGCCCATGAAGGTGATGCCGATGGCTTTGGGGTTCCAGATGGGACCGGTGTGGGCACCCTTGATCTTCCAGCCCCGGCCCTCATACACGAGCCCGTCTTCTCCAATCAGGAAGCTGTGTGAGGGGTGAGGGAGACTGAGGAATGAAGGAGGGCTTCCTGGGAGAGGACTCCCTCCTCCGCTTGCCCTGCGCCTGCTCCTGCCACTCACAAACCTCCCCGCCCCCCCTTCTTCTCCCCAGTGATAGTGGCCCCTAGATTGCCAAGCACAGCTCTGGATGCACCTTTTTCATCCTCACAGCAACCCTTGAGTCACTACTGCCCCATTCTATAGATAACCAGAGAGGTAGAGACACCTGCCCACAGACACACAGCCAGTCAGGGGCAGAGGCAGGATTTTCACCCAGGTCCTCATGAGCCCCACCCCCAGGATCTGAGGCCTTGCTCTCTCCTGCCTCCTGGAGGATGCGTTGAGCTCTTGATCTGCTGAGTCCTCATGTGAGGTCCTCTGAGGCAGGCACTGCTGTCACCACCCCCTTGAAGCTGAGGAAGCAGACTTAGAAAGAGAGGTGATGGCCCAAAGTCATGCCCCAGAGGCCCCTGCCTCAGAAATCTCCACGGAGAAGCTCAAAGCCCTCACCCCAGCCTGCCTCCTGCTTCCTGTTGCCTGCTGGGGGTCAGGACCAGGGACTGAAGGGCTGGGGCCACAACCAGACACGGACCCTGGGACCCTAGCACCTGCCTCTGAGGTTCCCAATTCTGGCAGGTCCTTAAGACTTTCTCATTCAACATGTCTTGATTGAGCGAGTCTGACCTGGCACGTTGGAATGAACTAGAAGGTCAGCGTCTTTAGAGAAGCAGAACCTGCCGCCTCAGCCCCCCATGTCGGAACTACCGGATCTCAGGAAGCCAGACTCTCAGAATCTGGCTCTGAAGAGACCAGCAATATCAGAGTGGCCCTCGGGACTGGGCCAGTGCCGGCCCTGCTGTGTCCCCCGCGCCTGGCATAGGCGGTGGGTGCTCCTCGCGTATTTGTTAGAAGGATGCATCTGATTTAAACCTCCACCGCCACCACCAGGTGGTGCACTCAGGAGCCCCAGTTTACAGGTGAAGAACTGAGAGAGAGAGAGAGAGAGAGAGAGAGAGAGAGGAGAGAGAGAGAGAGAGAGAGAAGGAAGGAGGATTCAGGACATTTGAATCAGACTCTGAATCCCCAAATCTGAGAAACAGACTTCGGAGGAACATGCTTTCCTGGGAGGTGGTCAGGCCAGAGGCCGCGGGGCCAGGCTCAGGTCAGTACTCCCGGGAATGTGGAGAATGCGGACACGTGGAGACAAAACCTCCACGCTGAACCTGTGAATGGTAAATTCCTGAGCTGGATGCTCTTGGAAGCTTCTAGAGTTCTCCAAGTGAGGTTCCCAGATTCCCGGGCCTTACCACAGCCCCCCCACCCCCCCACCCCCCCCGAAGGGGGCCCCGGGGGGTAAGGCGATTCTGGTGCTCACCGAATCACCGAACCTGGCAGGCTGAGACGGTCGTGCTGGGCCTTCGCCTGTTACCCTGGAATGGGCGGTGGTGGGCATGGGCCCCAGAGGCAGGTCTGAGCAGTCCCCACCCTGCTTCTGCCCTCATTCCTGGGGGCTTCTTGTATATAAGGAGGCTCCCTCCCTCCCTTGGCTTGCCTGCCTCAGTACAGCTGGAGTCCTCAGGGAGGGACAGGCCATGGCTTCCCTGATTGCATATCACTCCTCCCAGCTACCTCCAA